CTCTTGATGATCTCTTCGTGATGATCTCTATGATGTAGTTTAGTTTTGTGATCTCCTGAATTGTAGTTTAGTTTCGTGATCTCCTGAATTGGCTATGTCTCTGGGATGTTTGGTTTGTATCTCTTGGCTGTGATGTGTAGTATTTGAAAAAGATATAGAGTTGTATTGTTAATTATATTTTTTGTATGTGAATATATGGCTTCTATGAATTGTAATTTGATTTGGTTTGTATCTCTTGGCTGTGATCTCTGGTTTGTGTAATTGGCTTTAGTTTGGTGATGTAGAATTGGAATTGTAGAATTAGAATGGCTGATATTTGTGTGATTGGCTTTAGTTTGGTGATCGTGTGATGTGAATTGGCTGTGTGTGTATGTGAATTGGATTTGGTTTGTATTTATGGGTTATATATGTACTTTAATTTGTACTTCACTTATACAAATAACTATAATAAATTTGCGAAACCAATGGGGGAACCCAAAGAAAATCAAGTTGCAGATATCTTGATTAAAAAGCTGATAGAAGAGTGGCTTAAAATGCGTCATCCACCTCAAAACACAATGTTAATCACTGGTGATAATGGTTTTTACAAGATGTTGGACCTCTTCACCAAATCAGGTCATAAGACATTGTTAGTTTATCAAAAGAAGAAGACTGTGGTTGAGAATGACTCCATCAACATTAGGGAATATGTAGACGTATTCTGGAATGATTGGAGAGGTTTTCTATTTCTTAGACCAGCTAAGAGTTCTAGTGAAAGAAAGGCAGAGAGGAAGAAAAAGATGATTAAAGCCTGTCGTGAGGCTAGAAAAGTTAAACAAAGAAACAAAACTCTTCGTGAAAAGAAGATAGAAAAGGAACAGAGGAAAAAGGAGAAACGTTTTCTGGAGGACTATGGAAAAGTTGAAGTGGAAGTTGCTGGGGACGGAAATTGCCAATTCCGAGGACAAGTTGTGGGAAGACCGCGATTTTCATTGCTTCGAATGACAAATTTTTCAATGAAGATATGGCACAAGACCTGGTTTCACAAAGATTCCGAGGAGGCAGATTCTGATGGCGGTGTGTGGGAACAAGCTAGGAAATATGCTGCAACATCGCAGGTTATTCCCACTTATGAGGAACTTTATTTGGATTGACATGCAATTTAATATTTCATCATAAACCAAACAAACTTTTTAATCTAAATGTGATGATGAACATTGATTTAGAGGTTTATGATCTCATCGATTTTCAAACGACATCTTAGACTTCAAATTCTTAGATACAGTAGAAAAATTTATGTGCACGGTTATCGTTCGGTAATAGTAAATATGAAATCAAATCAAACAAGAACCAAAACTAGTTAAAACTAAAATACGTTCATTGGTTTTTTATTACTAAACAAGTAATATAGTGTTGTTTTTCAACTTTTTCCATTTATTCGAGGTTCTCGATCTTCAAACAATGTTGCTTGATGGAACTTTTCAGCCTGGGCATCTTAAATATAACATCAAAAAGGCATTGAAGAAAGTGGAGAACAAGATATTACATCATAAATTTTCTTTGTGACCTATGTCAATATGCAACATAGAGAAAGAATATTAGGCTTTGTGAGTTGGAGATTCTGAAAGATATATGTCAATATGCCTAATCACAAAGAAACTAGGAAGTGAAGACATGCTTCTTTAATGGAGAGCTTGCAAAAGATCTAGCTTCAAAAGGATTCAAAGTCTTTACGGGTAGAGTTCAAGGCATGGTTCCAAAAGATATGTGTAGATTTTTTT